TGGGGTCTTTTGTGATTCTGTACACAAAATTATTATTTTTTTCTATTGAATTATTTGTTCTATTCTACAAAAAAGTGCTACTGGAATTTTTGTTCTATTTCTACAAAAAAATAAATTATTGTTCTATTTCTACAGAAAATGCTATTGGAATTTTGATAGAGAGCGCATTGAATCTGTAGATTTCTTTGGGTAGTATAGACATTTTAACAATATTTGTTCTTCCAATCCATCAGCATGGAATTTGTCTTTCCATTTTTTTGTGTCTTCTTCAATGTCTTTCATCAATGTCTTATAGTTTTCAGGGTACAGGTATTTCACCTCCTTGGCTAAATTTATTCCTGTGTATATTATTCTTTTTTAAAAAAGATTTTATTTATCTATTTGATAGAGCGGGAGAGAGCATAAGCAGGGGGAGCGGCAGAAGGAGAGGGAGAAGCAAGCTTCCTGCTGAGCAGGGAGCTTGACGCAGGGCTCGATCCCAGGACCCCGGGATCACAACTTGAGCTGAAGGCAGATGCTTAACTTGCTAAGCCAGGCAGGCGCCCCCAGTTTCCTTTTTTTTTTTTAAAGATTTTATTTATTTATTTATTAGAGAGCGAGCGAGAGAGAAACAGCATGAGAGAGGAGAGGGTCAGAGGGAGAAGCAGGCCCCCCGCTGAGCCGGGAGCCCGATGTGGGACTCGATCCCGGGACCCTGGGATCATGACCTGAGCCAAAGGCAGTCACTTAACCAACTGAGCCACCCAGGCGCCCCCCAGTTTCCTATTTTTAACTCAAAGTAGAAGCAACACATTTTAGAACCTCTTGCTCAGCAAGGATCATAGCCAAAATATTAAAGGATAGAAATGTTCCATAGGGTTACACCCAATTATACTAAAAAGCAAAGAAATGATGTGTGAAATGGTGATCTGCTGTGAGGCAGAGTTCAAAGTCCTCAAAGGTCCCATCCCTTTAAGTTTAATTTCCTGAAAATAGAGGCTTTTAAAATATCATGCACATGCACTTAGTGGGGCGAGGCTGTGGGTGGGGGGACAGGAGGATACAGGAACTCTCTGTACTTTCTGCTCAATTTTGCTGTGAATCTAAAACTCTAAAAAAAATAACGCTTATTGATTTTTAAGAATCACATACTTTAAGGGCGCCTGTGTGGTGCTGTCGGTTGAGCATCTGACTCTCAGTTTCAGCTCGGGTTGAGATCTCAGGGTCATGAGATCAAGCCCCACTTCAGGCTCCACGCTCAGCACAGAGTCCGCTTGAGAGTCTCTCTCCCTCTGCCCCTCCCACTCGTGCTCTCTCTCTCTGAAATAAATAAATAAATCTTTAAAAAAATAAAAAGAGGGGCGCCTGGGTGGCTCAGTCGTTAAGCGACTGCCTTCGGCTCAGGTAATGGTCCCAGGGTCCTGGGATCGAGCCCCGCATCGGGCTCCCTGCTCCGCAGGAAGCCTGCTTCTCCCTCTCCCACTCCCCCTGCTTGTATTCCCTCTCTCGCTGTCTCTCTCTAAGTAATAAAATATTTTAAAAAATAAATAAAAATCACATACTTCAAAATAAATTGCTTACTTGAGCACAGAAGCCTATCAAAGTCTAACACAAACAAACAGAAACTCAGTTTATTGTAACATACCACTGGCAATCCAAACCAGGTTCAAGTTTTCAAACATCTTATGAAATTGTATGCTGTTCTCAAGTATCTTTTCTCCTTTTTCCTAACTAGAGCTTAATTGCAAAGTTCTGGTGTGGAAAAGCAATCCGTGTTTGTACAGAGAATATAGCAGGGAAGCATCAAATGCAACACGTCTGTCCTCATAAAATAGACAGTCACTGTCTCCTTGGTGTTTCCAAAGAAATCATATACATGTTACTGTTTCTTAAGTCATATGCATGCTAATACTACATAGTCGTTTTTTTTTTTTTTTAAAGATTTTATTTATTTATTTGACACAGAGAGACACAGCGAGAGAGGGAACACAAGCAGGGGGAGGGGGAGAGGGAGAAGCAGGCTTCCCGTGGAGCAGGGAGCCCAACGCGGGGCTCGATCCCAGGACCCTGGGATCAGGACCTGAGCCAAAGGCAGACGCTTAACGACTGAGCCACCCAGGCGCCCCACTACATAGTCGTTCTTAACGTTTCTGGAAAACCATGCTGTTTAGCACAGGAAATTATTATTGCCGTTGTCGTTTTGTTCATTATGTAAGTCAACCACCCAACAGTGAATCAATTCTCTAAAGCTAAGCGCTCAGGATGTCAGCACGCAGCCTTCCAAAGGGAAGCCCTTCACATTGCCATAATTCACAAAGGACCAGTCGGCTTGCCTAAACTTATCCTTTACATTTAGGAAACTTTGTGGGTTCCTGTCTTCCCCGGGGGATTTTTATTACTTGTTTATGCAAACAGCAGATTGCATAAGAGCCTTGCTGGCTTTTTTTTTTTTTTTAAGGGATTTCGTAGTTTCCTGGTAAGCACTCAGTCACCAGTTTCATCACCCTGACATGACATAAAGGCGGGAGCTGAACCTCGCGTTCGCCACTCAGACACACACCTCTTTCCTTGAGCACTCGCTAGGACCGACTCGTTCCACTCATGAGCCTGCACCAGCAGCAGAATTATTTTCTGGAAATAGACAAGAAGAACTGCTGTGTGTTCCGGGATGACTTCATAGCCAATGTGCTGCCGACGGTGTTGGGGCTGGAGTTTGTGTTTGGGCTCCTGGGCAATGGCCTTGCCCTGTGGATTTTCTGCTTTCACCTCAAGTCCTGGAAATCCAGCCGGATTTTCCTGTTCAACTTGGCTGTGGCTGACTTTCTCCTGATCATCTGCCTGCCGTTCTTGACGGACAACTATGTGAGGAAGTGGGACTGGAGGTTCGGGGACATCCCTTGCCGGGTGATGCTGTTCATGCTGGCCATGAACCGCCAGGGCAGCATCATCTTCCTCACGGTGGTGGCTGTGGACAGGTACTTCCGGGTGGTCCATCCTCACCATGCTCTGAACAAGATCTCGAATCGGACAGCGGCCATTATATCCTGCCTCTTGTGGGGTGTCACCATCGGCCTGACGGGTCACCTCCTGTACAAACAAATGTTGATCAAGAACCAAGATGCGAATTTATGCAGCAGCTTTAGCATCTGCCATACCTTCAGGTGGCATGATGCCATGTTCCTCCTGGAGTTCATCCTGCCCCTGGGCATCATCCTGTTCTGCTCGGCCAGAATCATCTGGAGTCTGCGCCAGCGACAAATGGACAGACATGCCAAGATCAAGAGGGCCATCAACTTCATCATGGTGGTGGCCATCGTCTTCATCATCTGTTTCCTGCCCAGCGTGGCTGTGCGCATACGCATTTTCTGGCTCTTACGCACCGTGGGCACGAGGAGCTGTGATATCTATCGCTCGGTTGATCTGGCGTTTTTCATCACCCTTAGCTTCACCTACATGAACAGCATGCTGGACCCTTTGGTGTACTACTTCTCCAGCCCATCTTTTCCCAACTTCTTCTCCACCCTGATCAACCGCTACCTGTGGAAGAAGACGCCACAACAGCCAGATAATAACCAGAGCACAAGCATGGAGCTCACGGGGGATCTGAGTGCTACCAGGAGTGTGCCAGACAATTTGGTGGCCCATGCCGGTGAGCCATGGAACCCGTCTTATCCGACCCCAGCTTCTCGCTAAATACCCGAGCCAAGAAGTGAGATTGTCACCAAGAACCAAGGTCTCCGGGGAAAGAGTTTGGCTGGGTGCACAGAGTACCATCATGAGACGTGGCCTGTGGTTTCCTGGAATTTCCAGATTCGGAGAATCGGATTTAGAGAAGGAGTGTGGCGGAGTGGGCTGCCCGGTTGTCCAGCGTCACCAGAGGACTCTTGGGGGGAACGGAGAGTAAAGCTTCTGAAACTTCTGCTCAGTCTCTGGCACTCACAGAACCGAAGATGGCCAAACTGTCCACAGTTCTGCCGAGCAGAGCTGGAGCCAGGGAGACGCCCGTGAGCACCTGTGATTCACTGGCCTCTTTCCCTACCTGCCTGAGGCGGGGGTGGCTCTCAGCTCCTGAGGGCGATACCCAGTCCATCGAGCTCCAGCCGGGATGAGGAAAGCTAAGTGGTTGGAGGGGAGTTATGGCCCCTGGGCGGAGGCCAGGAATCACTAAAGAAGCCAGTAGGTCACCCACATTCCAAGGGACCGATTCATCTTTCAGCCAAGCTTTAGCAGAAAAGCACCCGGCAGAGAGACTCACCGGTAGGGGTGAGAGAGGGATTAGCCGGGGCGGGACTGAGCAAAACAGTCTTACTGAGAGAAAGAAAAGGCATTTGTGCGGGGACCTGTGCCTAATCCATTCCTCTCCTGTTGACACTAACTGGAAGGCTGAGGGTTAGAGGCTTCAGAGAAGACGGCTGCTTCCCACCTCTGTTTGGTTTTGTCATTAAAAGGGAAATGCTGCCCAGTGGTTAGAGGGAGAAGGTTCCTCCTGGTTTGTTTGCTTGTGTTCCTGTCCTTATAAGAAATCTACCACTTCAATAAATTTTGATGTGAGATGCACAGTCTGGTGTTGCATGTGTCTGGGTGATGGTTCACAGAAAGGGACTTCTTACTTAAGCGGAGACCTTTATGGGTTGTTAACTGTGTCCCGACGGAAAATACCAAATACTGTCAAGTAAGGAAAGGAGGCAGACGCTGAGCTTCATCAACAGAGAGGTAAGTAAAAATTACACCTACATTAGGACGAGGATGAGGAAGGGCTGGGAATAAGTAAAAATCATTTAATTTGGAAGGGTGGTACAAATAGGGTTGCAGGGGCCCTGTACATTTAGGGTTAGGTGAATACTGCTATGACTATTTGTGTATTTAAAAAGGAATCGGGACAGACTGGGGTGTTTGCAGAGGAGGGAGGGAGAAGAAAGAATTTCCTATGGAACAGTTCCTGTTCCCAGTTCTGGGATGGAAAGGAAATGTACTGGTTTGAGTCTGTGATCAGTCCAAGTTTCTGTTATGCTTTCATCCCCAGCCTGTCCCTCCTTGATTCTTTAGCAAGATGCGGCTTGCCTTGCCATCCTGACTCAGATACAGATAAGAAAGGGAGAGACTCAGACTCCAAGCCAGAGCTTAAATGGCAATAAATGAAGAACAGACAGACGTTCTCATATTGAAGTGCTTTTGGAGTGCTTTGCTTGCCCGGTTCTCCCGTTGATTCCTAGAAGTAGAAAGTTAAAGCAGAGATCACCTCAAAGAGGAAGAAGTGGCAGAGATGAGCTGAGAGGAAAGGAGTACGTTCCCGCAGTCTCCCCTGCATGAGTCAGCAGCGAGCCTGGCTGGGAAACTCAGACCAGTTCAGCACTAACTCACATTCGTCCGTTTGCTCAGGAGTTCCATCAGCTTTCATTCATTTATTTTTAAAGCAGGCTCTACGTCCAAGGTGGGGCTTGCATTCACGACCCTGAGATCAAGATTTGCATGTTCTACTGACCGAAACAGCCAGGGGCCCTTCCATCAGCTTTTAGGTATTAAGTGCCAATGATGTGTCAGATGCTGCTCTGAATGGTTGGTGGAGATAGAACAAGGAACAAGGGGGGACGCCTGGGTGGCTCAGTCGGTTAAGCATCTGCCTTTGGCTCAGGGCACGATCTCGGGGTCCTGGGATCGAGCCGGCATCAGGCTCCCTGCTCAGTGGGGAGTCTGCTTCTCCCTTTCCCTCTGCCCCTCCCTACCACTCATCTTCACTCTGTCTCTCACACACTCTCAAGTAAATATTTAAAAAAAAAAAAAAAGAAAGAAAAATCTTTAAAAAGAATTAAATCACAATTTGTCATGTCTATAAAATAAGAACATCGTCATCATCCTTGATCATCAATAATATTTATTAAGAGAGGAGTCTCCTACTAAATATTTCTGTTTCCCTGTCCAGAGGAATGCCAATATTAATGTAACCTGGCTGGCTCTGTCAGAAGAGCACGCGGCTCTTGATCTCAGGGTCATGAGTTCAAGCCCCACGTTAGGCATAGAACTTACATAAAAAGTTAATTAATTAATTAATTAATTTTAAAAAATGGGAGCAAGTAATGTTGTTATTCTGAACTAAACCAATGATGTGTTCCATCCAGTCTCACACTGTGGTATAGCATATGTGTACTGTCTCTATGCTGGAAGGGGCAGTTATTTGTTTTTAAGATTTAATTTTTTTAAGTGATCTCAACACCCAACATGGGGTTTGAACTCACAACCCCAAGATCAACAGTCACATGCTTTACTGACTGAACCAGCCAGGCGCCCCTGGATGGGGCAGTTATAATCATATATGCATTGATTTTCCATTACTTCCTCTTTATTTTAGAGGGTACCAGTTTGGGGGCTATGAGTTCTATGAGTTTATTATATAAAAAGTAGGACTTCAGGGCGCCTGGGTGGCTCAGTCGTTAAGCGTCTGCCTTCGGCTCAGATCATGGTCCCGGGGTCCTGGGATCAAGCCCTGCATCAGGCTCCCTGCTCTGCGGGAGGCCTGCTTCTTCCTCTCCCACTCCCCCTGCTTGTGTTCCTGCTCTCGCTGTCAAATAGATAAATAAATAAATCTTTAAAAAAAAAAAAGTAGGACCTCATTTTAACTGCTCCCAAACAATCTCTTCCAAACTTGAAGAGATTACCCCTAAGTCTAGAACCATAAAATTGGGGCTTTAAACTCATGTTTGTTTCTGATTTGATGAACTCCCTTACCTTTCCAAATTTATTAGTCTACCTGACCCACAGTGCCTTGCCTGAAGAGAGGGATCTAACTCACATCTAGGATTCTGGTCCTTAATACACCTTGTAGTTTCATTTTCAACATATTTCCGGATTACGATCTGTCGCTCTGTTGGCCGTCCCACTTACAACAAGCAGCTGTCTTCCCAAATGGTCCTGACTCCTTTCTTCCCCCACTTGGCTTCTGTAATCAGAATTTTGCTGAGGAATTGGTTATCCGTGGTACCCTGGCCTGTGGTGGCATTTGGTTGGGTCACTAAGTATCAGAAATGGATCATTTAACAACCAAATTGGGCCATGGATCATCTCCTACTCCCCTTATCTTTTGGTTTGAATTGGGAACTTCTTCAAAGCAGAACTGGAATTTTGATGAAATTCTTTGACAATTGACGCTGGGCTGTTCGTGTTACCAGCCAAGTTCCTGAGAAGGAAATTCCTTTTTTTTTTTTTCCCCTCATTGTAGTAAGAAGATGCCTTATTATAATTGTTCAACTCAAGGTCCTCATAAATGCAAGTATCTGAAACACACTTCAAATTAGCTTAAGCAAAAAATGAAAAATCAAAAGTGAGGAAAGATCCTGGAGTATCTCACAGAAACTGAGAGAGAGTTAAAGCAGGGTCAGGCAGCGCCAGGGGACAAGCTCACAAGCCTTCGTCCTGCTCTTAGCTGTGAACCTGACTTAACCTCTCCATACCTGTGTCTCTCCAGTCAGACTCTCACATGAGAGAATCTGACTGGTCCCAAACCACTCTCTATGAAAGAGTGATGAAGTCATGAAGATTCACACAACAGCGGTGCAAAGGGTATTTTAAAATTACTGTCTGGGGGGCATCTGGGTGGCTCAGTCGTTAAACGTCTGCCTTCGGCTCAGGTCGTGATCCCAGGGTCCTGGGATCGAGCCCCGCATTGGGCTCCCTGCTCTGCGGGAAGCCTGTTTCTCCCTCTCCCTCTCTCCCTGCTTGTGATCCTGCTCTCACTGTGTCTCTCTCTGTCAAATAAATAAATAAAATCTTAAAAAATACGCCTGGGTGGCTCAGTCGGTTAAGCAGCTGCCTTCGGCCCGGGTCATGATCCCAGGGTCCTGGGATCGAGTCCCATATCAGGCTCCTTGCTCGGTAGGGAACCTGCTTCTCCCTCTCTCTCCCTCTGCTTGTGCTCTCTCAAATAAATAAAATCTTTAAAAATAAATAAATAAATAAATAAATAAATAAAATTACTGTTTGGGTAAAGCCATGCTCTCTGCCAGGTGTTCCTCAGATAACATTCCAGATCACTTTCCATGCCACTCATACACAGCATGTTTGGACTTTTTTTCAGTGGATCTCAGTTCTCTTGCTGCCATGTTATAAGACAGTCGTCCCAAAAGAATGGAAAAGTCATCAGTTGACCTTTGGAAGCCACACAGTTCACGTGCCCCAAACCCATTTGGATGTGGACCTCCAGATGTGAGTTTTAGAGCCCTTCAGAAGGTCTTCCTGGAGAATTAAAGTCTTTGTAATTTTATATATTGCTTCACAAATTGGGGGCAAAGAAATACTCTTCAGCAGGCTTAGCTGCAGAAATACCTAGCCATGACATTCTGTTCACTAAGTTTTGTGTCTTCTACGACAAATGAAACATGACTATTTTGCAACTGGTGTTGTTGCTATTTTCTTGGAGCTCAAATTTAAGATTTGGCCACCTTGTCTCTTTAGGGCATTACAAATGTCAGGCTTGACCTATAGTCCACAATCCCACGGCCCTGGCAAATGAAAGGCAAGCACTTCTATGCTCTTAACAAATATTGATATACTCAGTGTTCTGGCCACACCCACAGAGGGATTTACAACCATCAACAGGTATTGGGAAAGGTACATGACGTTCCCTATACAATCGAAAAGAAGAAAAAGTGAGTTGACCTACTGATGTCATGAGGTTGAAAAACTGGGTTCCTTTTCAACATGTTTACAAAATATCCCTCCTCTAGATTATGATACTTGAATAAGAAAATGGTACTGATGATCTGCTTTTTTTTTTTAATTAAAAACATTTTTTTAAGTAATCTCCATACCCAACATGGGGCTCAAACTCACAACACTGAGCTCAAGAGTCCCATGCTCTAGGGACTGAGCCTGCCAGGCTCCCCTGCTTTTGGTTCTCATAAAGCAACATGAGGCAAAGACAGACCCACAATAAGAGAAACATTGCTTTCATCAGCATCATCATTTGATTGCCACCAGTATATCTAAGATTTACTCACCTGTCAGACACTGAGTGAAGTATTTTATGTGGGTAATCTCACTTCATCCTCCCAATAACTTCATAGGGCAGGTGCTATTTCCATTTCGCAGGTAAGGAACTGAGGCTCAGAGAGTTGGAATAGTTTGCCTGAAGTCAACAGTCTATGAGTGAGGGACCAAGAGAACAGAGGCCAGAGGTCTGACTCCAGAGTCTTTACCTTTAAAGTTCTGAAAAAATGCAAAATAAGAGATAAGCAATGTGAACTGAAGAAGGTAGGGTGAATACCTCGACACATTTGGGGTCAATATTCCCAGAATTTTCCAGGCTGCCCAACAACTTAGGCACCCAGGCACCTCCCAGGTCCAAGCTGAGATCATGTACTTAAGCTGCCCGGCACAGTACCTTGCGCATGGAAGGTGCTCTAGACATCAGTTTCTGTTCTCAAAGCTAATTAGTGATTGGCCCCTTCCTTCCTTTTTGAAGGCCCTTCTTGTCTTTCTAAAGGAACTACCATTTCATAAGGAGGCAGATCAAGGATATTCACTGTAACACCATTTGTAATAGTGAAAGAAAAAACAAAAAAAGGAAAAAAGAGGAAACAACCTAGGTGTCCATTAGTAAGGGAAGAGATACATAGGGATACAGGCTCCCAGCGGAATACTAAGTAGCAGGGAAAAAAAAGAACCAGAGGTAGCTGTATCAGCAGGACTGAATCTTGAGCATAATATCTAAAGCAAAAACCAAGTTGTCAAAAGATACATTCAGGGGTGCCTGGGTGTATCGACTCAGGTCATGATCCCAGAGTCCTGGGATCGAGCCCCTCATCAGGCTCCCTACTCAGCGGGGAGTCTGCTTCTCCCTCTCCCTCTGCCCCTCCCCCTGCACCTGCTTTCTCAAATAAATAAATAAATAAATAAAATCTTTTAAAAAAGATACATTCAATATGATAACATGTAAATGTTTAAGACATGCTAAACAAAATAACATGGTTTTTGGAAGCATCAATATGTAAGAAAACAACAATCTCAGATGAGAAGAATGCACAGTAACTACAGGATATACATTACTTCTGTGGCTGGAGGGAGGGACACGGATGGAAGTTGGTCTCAACTCTATCTGCAATGCTTTTACTTCATTTTAAAGATTTTATTTATTTATTTGAGAGAGGGAGAGAGTGTGTATGCGTGAGCAGGGGGAGGAACAGAGAGGGAGAGAGAATCTTAAGCAGACTATGCACTGACGGTCAAGTCCAACACGGCTCAATCTCACCACCCTGAGATCATGACCTGAGCCAAAATCAATAGCCAGATGCTTAACCAACTGAGCCACTCAGGCACCCTGCTTTTACTTCTTCTTTTTTTTTTTTTGGTATTTAATTTTTTTTATCATGTTATGTTACTCACCATACATTACATCATTAGTTTTTGATGTAGCGTTCCATGATTCATTGTTTTCGTTTAATACCCAGTACTTCATGCAGTATGTGCCCTCCTTAATACCCATCACCAGGCTAACCCATCCCCCCACCCCCCTCCCCTCTAGAACCCTCAGTTTGTTTTTCAGAGTCCATAGTCTCTCATGGTTTCTCTCCCCCTACTTCATTTTAAAAGAAGGATCTGAGGGGCTCCTGGGTGGCTCTGTCAGTTAAGCGTCTGCCTAGGGCTTGCAAGAGTCATGATCCCAGGGTCCTTGGATCGAGTGCCGCATCGGGCTCCCTGCTCTGCGGGAAGCCTGCTTCTCCCTCTCCCACTCCCTGCTTGTGCTCCTGCTCTCGCTATCTCTCTCTCGGTCAAATAAGTAAATAAAATCTTTAAAAAATAATAATATAAACAAACAAGGATCTGCAAATGTCCCTCAGTAGGTGAATGGTTAAACAAAGTGTGGTGCGTCCATACCATGGAATGTTACATAGCAATAAAAAGGAACAGACTATTGATTCACACATCAACTTGGGTGGATCTCAAGGACATTATACTGAGTGGGGAGAAAAAGGCCAATCTTAAAAAGTTATATACTGTAGGGGCGCCTGGGTGGCTCAGATGGTTAAGCGTCTGCCTTTGGCTCAGGTCATGATCCCAGGATCCTGGGATCGAGCCCCACATCGGGCTCCTGGCTCGGTGGGGAGTCTGCTTTTCCCTCTCCCTCTGCCTCTCCCCCTGCTCACGGTCTCTCTCTCTCTGTATCTCTGTGTCTCAAATGAATAAATAAAATCTTAAAAAAAATTACATACTCTACAATCCCATTTACGTAACATTCTTAAAATGATTAAATTATAAAGAAGAACAGATCAGTGGTTGCTAGAAGTTAGGGAAAGGGCGATAGGCCTGGTAGAGCGTGAGGATGTTTCTTTAGGGTGAGAGCCATTTGTATCCTGAACATGGTGGTGGTTATACAAAAATCTATGTATGTCTGGGGCACCTGGGTGGCTCAGTCTGTTAAGTGTCTGACTCTTGATCTCAGCTTGGGTCTGAGAGAGCAAGAGAGCACAAGCAAGGGGAGGAGCAGAGGGAGAAGGAGAACCAGGCTCCCCGCTGAGCCGGGAGCCCAATGTGGGGCTGGATCCCAGGATCCTGAGATCATGACCTGAGCCAAAGGCAGACGCTTAACCAACTGAGCCACCCAGGCGCCCCTGAATTTTTATTCTTTATGAGCATTAGGGTATATGTACACACACGTGTGCATGCTTAGGTCAACTGACGACTTCAGCTACCACCCATTCTGTTGATGAGGCCTCCATCTGACCAGATTCAGCTTATCCTCCACCTTCTTTTGCATCCCTGCCCCCAGATGCCCTTTATGTTTTAAAGATTTTACGGCTAGCCACTTGGGAAACAGATAAAAGGTAACCAAAAATAAGCTTGTTTATAAAAAAAAAGTAATAAGATTAAAAACTCTCACAAAACGACCATGGAAAACTTTATGCTGACTGGAAGAAGCCGGACAAAAAAGGTCCACATAGCGTATGATTCCATTTATATGAAATGTCCAGAACAGGTAAATCCACAGAGACAGAAGGTAGAATGGTGTGGTGGCTGCCAGGGGCTGGGGGAGGGGGGAATGGGGAGCGACTGCTAACCGGTGTGGGGTCTCCTTTTGGGGTGATGAAAATGTTTGGGAACAAGACAGAGGGGTGCTGCACAACATTGAATGTACTAAATGCCACCACATGGATACGTTGTGTGAATTTCACCTGACTGAAACTAACAAAAAATGGGTGGGAGCAGAATCCGTAGAGTAACTGTCCCTGCTTCTAGTTCATCCTCGCTCCTATCCCTCACTTCTCCATCGTCCCTGGTTCTCTCCTGTGTCAGGCAAGACCTCTGCCCCAGAGACACTGAAGGGGAAGTTAGGACAGGATATTAAGTATGAGCCAGAATCTATTGTGGTTGCTGGTAACCTCTAGATTGGGTGATTCTCATGTAACCGTTTTCCTTAACTCTTGCAAACTCTTGGAGTGCGACATGGAGCCAGAGCATCTGACTGAACTGCTTTGTTGAAATCCTAACCCCCAGCATCTTCGAATGTGACAGTATTTGGAGATAGGTTCTTTATTTTTCTTTATTTTTATTTTCTTAAGATTTTATTTATTTAGGGCGAACTAAATTCTTGTTTCAGCCCCCAGTCTGTGGACCTTTTGTCATGGTGGCCCTCGCAGACTCACAGGGTCTGATCACCCTTCTTATATGCATCAGGCAGCCAGTGGTTCCAGAGCTCAGCTGGAACGCCCTATGTGTTTATTTAAAACTGCTTACTCCTATAAATCTGAAGAGAATTTGACATAAGGCCTGCCGTGCTACACAGCAGAGAAATTCAACTTTAGAGAAAGTAGACCAACACTAAGGACAGGTTGACTTTTCATAGGCAAACAGTGCCCAACTGCTTCTCTCTCTTCCTCTACCTTTTGTTTGATTATGGAAACCGATCTCAGAATTTATTAAAACACATATTTTTTTTTTTAAAGATTTTATGTATTTGTTTGACAGAGAGAGACATAGTGAGAGAGGGAACACAAGCAGGGCGAGTGGGAGAGGGAGAAGCAGGCTTCCCACTGAGCAAGGAGCCCGATGCTGGGCTCCATCCCAGGACCCTGGGACCATGACCTGAGCCAAAGGCAGATGCTTAACGACTGAGCCCCTCAGTCATGCTTTTAAAAATATGTATCTTGGGGCGCCTGGCTGGCTCAGTCGGTAGGGCATGGGACTCTTGATCTTGGGGTCGTGAGTTCAAGTGCCATGTTGGGTGTAGAGCTTACATTAAGATATATATATATATATCGTAACAAAATTACTAAAATTATTATAGTCAATCCAAAAAAAAAAAGCCTTCCTCAATATTCTTATCCACTGTTTTTTCTTTTTTTTTTTAAAGATTTTATTTATTTATTTGAGAGAGAGAGAATGAGAGACAGAGAGCATGAGAGGGAGGAGGGTCAGAGGGAGAAGCAGACTCCCTGCCGAGCAGGGAACCCGATGCGGGACTCGATCCCGGGACTCCAGGATCATGACCTGAGCCGAAGGCAGTCGCTTAACCAACTGAGCCACCCAGGCGCCCCTATCCACTGTTATTTCTAACAAAAAATATTCACATAAAGCTCCTAATGATTATTTTCCTAAAACAAAAAATTGAATTGTATCTCTTTTCCTGCTTCAGAAACCTTCAATTATCAGTAGAATAAAATTCAAACTCAGCATGGCCTTTCCCTGCCGGGCTGCATGGGTACCCACACGGTATGGCGGACGTGAAGGAGAATGGCCTTTGGAATCAGGATGAAATTTCAGTTTTACCACCCACCGGCCAGGTGCCTGGGACAAAGAGAATGAAAGAGGCCGAGGACCTTTCCAGCTTTTGCAGCTCCCGATTTATTTTCTTACTGAAATATAGTTCACATACTATAAAATTCACTTTTTTTTTTTTTAAGGCTACTTATTTTTATCTTGTGCTGGACACTTTCTGACATTCAGACACATGCCTAGAAGGGCTGAGAGGGTCCGGACAAGCAGGGCACACAAATCTGAATTGACGTCAATGCCTTTGTGTCTTTCCCACTGAGGGCTCAGCCAGCGCTTTCCTGCACTTCTCGACTGCCCAGGGGTCGGTCCTTTATTACTGATAGAGTAAAATGAAGACAGGATTGAGGAGAACCAACCGACTGCGGGAAGCCAGAGAAACCCCTGAGAGAGATGGCCCTGTGATTCTGGCAGCTGCAAGCAAGTCCCCTGTGGGTGGC